TTTAGTCATGTTTTTTTGATGTTGTTGTTGTGATTGTGAGGTGTTCTCTCCGCTGGTGCAGAGCACTGAACAGATAGGTCTTTAGTACAGATATCTGCCAGTGTTCTATTCATTCTGTAAGATCTTCATTGTGGCTCGAGATAACTATTTGATCTTGTTTTTAGGGATGTTGTCTTTCAGAGAAGAACAATTTAACCAATTTTGAACTTTAAAGACTTGAAGAATGATGATAACAATTTTTATATCTTTAGATGTTTCGAGTATTTACACGAACATTGCTAACAATTTTGGTTTAGACGCTGTCCGTAAAGCCGTTATTAGAAATCTTTCCGAAGAAAGACCAGATAAAGAAATTTTAGAACTTCTAGAAATATGTTTAACGCATAATGACTTTACTTTCAATGGAAAAACATACCTTCAAATTTCTATAAAAGCTATGGGCAAACGTTTTGCTATGCAAATGTCTTTATGGCCGAATGAGGACGCGAAATAGACCAAATTTCAGCTTTCAAACGCCTTTTTACAGCCGATATCTTGACGATATTTTTATCATTTGGACCGAATCACTAGAAAACTTTTGGCAATATTTTGAAATACTAAGCAATCACCACCCTTCAGTTAAATTAACGGCGAACATTAGCGACAATATTATGGATTTCTTAGACACTACGGTGTTCAAGGAAAAAATCTTCCAAAGTTGATATTAAAGTACTTCAGAAGACAAATGACCCTCCTCCTTCGCCTACTGAATTCGGCTGGTTCTGCGTGTCGTACCTGCGAACATATATCTATTTCTCATTTCTTTAAAAACAATAAAACCGGAAAAACTTTTTTAATGACTGACCAAATTTCATGCAGAGAACAAAATCTGATTTAACTAATTTCATGTAAAAATGCGACATACAGTATATTGGAGAAACAAAGAACGCGCTGCGAACTCGCTTTAACGGCCATCGTTACGATATAGTACATGGCAAAACCAGACCAATTTCCAATCACTTTAACCAACCCGACCATTCCATTGAAGACTTGTTGATTATGCCAATTGAAAAGATACAACCTATGCTGAATATCAAGCCAAAGCAAAGACGATGGATGGACCAACTTCAAACTGTATATCCTAATGGCTTAAATATTCAACACGACAACCAGATAATATCCTCATGTCTACAGCTAAAGAAATGATACTACCACAGATAGCATTACAGAAACATCCTTAGTTAACATATCTAATTATCTTAACCTTAGATACTACCACAGATAGTATTACAGAGACATTCTTAGTTAACATATCTAATTATCTTAACCTTAGATACTACCACAGATAGTATTACAGAGACATCCTTAGTTAACATATCTAATTATCTTAACCTTAGATACTACCACAGATAGTATTACAGAGACATTCTTAGTTAACATATCTAATTATCTTAACCTTAGATACTACCACAGATAGTATTACAGAGACATTCTTAGTTAACATATCTAATTATCTTAACCTTAGATACTACCACAGATAGTATTACAGAGACATCCTTAGTTAACATATCTTAGTATCTTAACCTTAGATACTACCACAGATAGTATTACAGAGACATCCTTAGTTAACATATCTTAGTATCTTAACCTTTAACTTGCACCTTGTTTTATCATAAATCTTTACTTTGTGACCTAGGCCAGTGCTTTCATGAGAATATGTTCTCATCGCCTTCTAACACTACAAGTTTGGAGCTTGGTGAATATTTCATTACATGGAGAAACAACAGCACGAGATAAGAAGGGTTGACTGCCGTTGGTTTTGACATCACATCTCTGCAGCGGGTTGGACTGTAGGGTAGCACTAATAGAGTGGTGAGAACTTCCTCACAATTAGTCTTGTTAAAACCTCCCAATGCGCTGGCATCTCATACTGAAGCAATAGAGACACACCTCAAAGTACCCCCTCAAGAATCAACACCAAAAATTATAAAGAATAGCCTTTAATTTGCTTAATTTCACAATTTAATGTGAACAACCGACCATGTTTGCAATCGCTAATGATGAAAGGATTCGCAAGTTTTATTAATTTGTTCATGAGACTCTGTGGCGAAGTGGCAAAGGGGCGAAATGACGTTAAACTACCTTTATTGACTATTAAATCTGAGAGCTAGTAACAGGAAAAGACAACTCAGACCGTACTAAGGCTGCTGCAGACTACAAATAACTCACAAATTGACTTGTTTTACTCTATTTTGCTAAATAAAGAGAAAACTAATAAATCTGGCACAAATTGAGATCCTTTTACATGAAACCAGATTGAAGAGCTGTCCATTGTTCAACTGAACAAGCGTAAAGTGTGCCAGAGTGACTGTCAAAGTGTGGTGTCTTGATGTGTTTAAAAATATGTTTGACATAAGCAACAACTAAGTCAAACCTGACTGGCAAATAAGATTACACACATCCCTAAACCACTGTTTCATTTTGTGGGGAATGGGGCACTTTTTTAAAGGAAGACGTAGGCTTAATTATTTGTTTTTTTTTTTAATTCATTCTGTTGCCATTTTTTGTTTTTTTCAAATTTTTTTTCTAAATATAAGGAACATAATTCTTAGGCCTCTTTTCTTTTTTTTTATGTCTTGATCAATATTTCTGTGGTGTGTAGAAAATGAAAGAAGACACTGCCATGGTTTTCACTGTCTGGTTTGCGTTTGTATAAATTTTCCGTATGATTTGCGGAATTCAGAAATGAAATGAATGGAGACTTTACGTCTCACATTTCTGCAGCTGCCTTCAATTTTGTTTGAGATGGAATTGTCGCGGGGATCTTTAACGTGCACAGCCTGCAGCACACTGGGCAAAGGTTTTATTGTTCCATTTGCAAGACTGCGCACCTGTTGAATTTACAGCTTGACTAATTTGTCTGGTAAGGAAATCTAGAGTGTTGGTCAGTTGGAAAACAGGTCTATCAGCTGTTCAATTATAGAATGAGACTCGGATATGGCCCTGAGCTTGCTTGGGTGGTCATCCATTGAAACCCACATTGATAGTCAAAAACTCTTATTCTTTGGTCGTTTGCTCTCTTTAAACGTGGTCTTTCTTCCTAGAAGAATGCTTATAAGTAGACTTTTAGAATGTAAGTATCAGTGCTGTTCCTCCTCTCGAGGATTTGCATCAGAGATACTAACAATCCTTGATAAATATGGTTTAAATAATTATTTAGTTAATTTTTTTGAGTCTTCTCAATTTCCTATAAAATCTAAATGGAAGAATATTGTATATAAATCGATCAGTAACGGTGAACTCAGATCTTGGAAAGATAGAATTGATTGTGACTCCAATTTTGTCTTGTTTAAAGAGGTTCACTCACAAATTGAACATCATGCCGCCTATGATGTTTGGAGGGCTGACCCCACTTTTAAAAATAGTTGTCGTGTTATTATCAAAGCTCTGTGTCTGATAAGGGTAGACTCTCCCCAGTCTGAAGTAAAAACCCTGTGTGAAAAGTGCGGTTTGTTCTTTTCGTGTCCAATAGTTCATATATTATTGCATTGTGCCACATTTACTGAACTTAGAGATACATTTTGGTGTCAGTTAAGTTTTCTTTTCTTATTATTATTCGTGTTAATTCAATATTTATTAATATTATTCAAATATTTATTTATGTATTTTCCATGTTTACAATATTATGTATCAATATCTTCATATTTGGAGGAAATAAAAGATTATATATAATTAAGGGAGGTAACTAGTTACTATAAACTAGTTTTCACTATTATAGGGAGGTAATTGGTTGCTATAAATTAATTTTCAATAATTACAGAAGATGACTAGTTACTGTTCAGTAATTTTCACTAATTGATTAGGGAGGTAACCGGTTACTTAACATTAATTTTTACTATTTAAGGGAAATAACTAGTAACTATAAATTAATTTTCACTAATTAATTAAGCAGGTAACTAGTTACTATAATTTTATATTTACTATTTAAGGGAGGTAACTAGTTGCTATAAATTAATTCATATTAGTAATATAAACTTATATTCACTATTAAAAGGATGCTACTATATACTAAATACCATATATTACTTTTCAGTATCAAAAGGGAAGTAACTTGTTACTATTAATTTATTTCCACTAATCAAGGGAGGTAACTAGTTATAATGAATTAATTTTCACTATTCAAAGTAGGTAACTAGTTACTGTAAGTTAATGTTAACTAAATAAGGTAGGTTACTAAAATCAAATATTCACTATTAAAGGGAAGTAACTAGTTACTTTATATTGTTATTCACTATTAAAGGGATGTAACAATTTACTAAGAATTACGTTTCGCTACTTAAGGGAGGTAACTAGTTACTAAAAATTAATATTAAAGGGAGGTAACTAGTTACTATAAGTTATCATTCACTATTAAAGGTAACTAGTTACTATATATTAATTTTTAATACCACAAATACAGGGAGGTAACTAGTATAAATGAATTTCACAATTAAAGGAAGGTAACTAGTAACTATGAATTAATTTGACTAATAAGGGGAAGTAACTTGTTACTATAAATTAATTTTCACTATTTGAAGAAGGTAACTAGTTACTATAGGTTAATTTTAACTACTTCAGGTAAGTAACTAGTTACTATAAATTAATATTCAATATCAAAGGGGGGTAACAAGTTAGTATAAATTACGTTTCGCTACTTAAGGGGGTAACTAGTTACTAAAAATTAATATTCACTATCAAAGCGAGGTAACTAGTTTTTATAAAATATCATATTAAAGGGAGGTATTTAGTCACTACATAGTCATTTTCACTATAAAAGGGAGGTAACAAGTTACTATAAACAAATATTCACTATAAAAGGGACTAGTAACTAGTTACTTTCAATTAAGTTTCACTAATAAAAGGATGTAACTAATCACTATAAATTAGGTTTCAATTATTAAGGGAGGTAACTATTTATTATAAGTGAATATTTACTATTAAAGGGAAGTAACAAGCTATTATATATTGATATCTACTATTAAATGGAGGTAACTAGTTAATATAAACTAATATTCGCTAATAAAAGGAGGAAACTAGCTACTATATACTAAATACTTTATATTAATTTTCAGTATCAAAAAGGAAGTAACTTGTTACAGTATATTTATTTCCACTAATCAAGGGAGGTTACTAGTTATTATCAATTAATTTTCACTATTCAAAGGAGGTAACTAGTTACTATAAGTTAATTTTAACTAATAAAGGTAGGTAACTAGTTACTATAAATTATAATTCACTAAGAGAGGTAACAATTTACTATAAATTACGTTTCGCTAGGGAAGTAACTAGTTTCTATCAGCTAGTTTTCACCATGAAAGGCATGTAACAAGTTACTATCAATTAATTTTCACTAAATAAGGGAGATAACAATCTAGTTTTCACTGTGAAAGGGGGATATTTAATTACTATATGTTAATTTTCAATAATTAAGGGAGGTAACTACTTACTTTCAATTATTTTTCACTATCAAATGGAAGTAACTAGTTACTGTATATCTTTTACAGTTTTACAATTTAAGAGGGTTAACTAGCTATTATGAAATAGTTTTTACTATTAAAGGGAGGTAAACTAATTACTATTATTAAATCTTCACTATTTAAGGAAGGTAACAAAATACTATAAAGTAGCTTTCACTGTGAAAGGGAGGTAACTAGTTACAATATATTAATTTTCACTACTACTTGAGGTGACAAGTTATTATAAACCAGTTTTCACTATGAAAGAAAGGTAACTAGTTGCTATGCATTAGTTTTCACTATTAAAGGGAGAGAACTAGTTACTATAAATCAGTTTTCACTATGAAAGGGAGGTAACTACTTACTATATGTTATCATTCACTATTGAAGGGAGGTAACTAGTTACTATCAATTAGGTTCCACTATTATAGGGAGGTAACTAGTTACTATAAATGAATTTCACAATTAAAGGGAGGTAAGTAGTTACTATGAATTAATTTGACTAATAATGTGAGGTAACTAGTTATTGTAGATAATTATTCACTATCAAAGGGAGGTAACTAGTTACTATAAATTATTATTCACTATTAACAGGAGGTAAGTGAGTTAACTAGTTATTAAAAGTATACATTCACTATTAATGGGAGGTAACTAGTTACTATAATTTATTATTAATTATTAAATGGAGGTAATTGGTCACTACAAAGGCATTGTCACTATAAAAGGTAACTAGGTACTATAAATTAATTTTCACTATTAAAGGGAGGTAACTAGGTACTATAAATCAAATATTCACTATAACTAGGTAACTAGGTACTATGAATTATTATTTACTATTAAAGGGAGGTAACAAGGTACTTTAAATTACTTTTCGATACTTAAGGGAGGTAATTAGTTAATAAAAATTAATTCACAGTTAAAGGTAGGTAACTAGTTACTATAAATTTTTATTTACTATTAAAGGGAGGTAATTAGTCACTACAAAGATATTTTCACTATAAAAAGGGAGGTAAAAAGTTACTATGAATAAATATTCACTATCAAAGGAAGGTAACTAGTTACTATCAATCAGTTTTTACTATCAAAGGGAGGTAACTAGTTACTATATATTATTTTTCACTATTTAATCAGGAGGAAACTAGTTACTAAAATTTAGTTTTCATTAATTAAGGGAGGTAACTAGTTTCTATAAACTAGATTTTAATATTAAAGGGAATTAACTAGTTACAATAAATTAGTTTTCAATAATTAAGGGAGGTAACTATACTACATATTAATTTTCACCACTAAATGGAGATAACAATTTACTATAAACTAGTTTTCACTATGAAAGGGAGGTAACTAATTACTTTGTATTGTTTTTCACTAATTAAGATAGATAACTACTTACTTTCAATTAATTTTCACTATTTAAGGGAGGTAACAAGCTACTATAAATTAGTTTTCACTATTAACAGGAGGTAAACTAGTCACTATAATTAAATGTTCATTAATTAAGGGAGGTAACCAGTCAATATAAATTAGTTTTCACTATTAAAAGGAGGTAGCTAGTTACTATATATTAATTTTCAGTACTAAATAACAAAATACTATATACTAGTTTTCACTATGAAAGGGAGGTAACTAGTTACTATGTAGTAATTTTCACTACTAAAGGGAGGTAAAAAAAATACTATAAACTATTTTTCACTAATCAAGGGAGGTAACTAGTCACTATAAATTAGTTTTCACTATTAAAAGGAGGTAACTAGTTACTATAAATCAGTTTTCACTATTAAAAGGAGGTAGCTAGTTACTATATAATAATTTTCACTACTAAAGGGAGGTAACAATTTACTATAAACTAGTTTTCACTGTGAAAGGGAGGTAATTAATTACTATATATAAATTTTCACTAATTAAGAGAGATAACTACTTACTATCAATTAATTTCCAATATAGAATGGAGGTAACTAGTTACTGTAGATTAGTTTTCACTATTAAAGGGAGGTAAACTAGTTACTATATATTAATTTTTAATACTAAAGGGAGGTAACAAAATACTATAAATCAGTTTTCACTAATAGTTACTACAATTTAATTTTCACTAATCTAGTTTCTGTAAGCTACTTTTCACTATGAAAGGGATGTAAATAGTTAATATAAATTAATTTTCACTAATTATGGGAGGTAACAAGTTACTATCAACTAGTTTTCACAATTAAAGAGAGGTAACTAGTAACTATATATTAATTTTTACTATTAAAGGGATGTAACTTGTTGCTATAAATTGATTTACAATACTTAATTAGGGAGGTAACTAGTTACTATATATTATTTTTCAATAATTAAGGGTGGTAACTAGTTTCTATATATTAATTTTTAATAATTAAGGGTGGTAACTAGTTTCTATCAACTAGATTTTAAAATGAAAGGGAGCTAACTATTTACTATGAATTAATTTTCACTAATTAAGGGAGGTAACTAGATACTATATATTAATTTTCATTATTAAAATGAGGTAACTAGTTAGTATAAATAAGTTTTTACTATTAAAGGGAGGTAACTAGTTACTATAAACTAGTTTTCACTATTAAAGGGAGGTAACTAGTTGCAATAATTTAATTTTCACTATTAAAGGAAAGTAACTGGTTAATATGAATTGATTTTCAGGTAACGACGGTAACTAGTTAATATAAACTAATATTCACTATTAAAGGGAGGTAACTAGTTACTATAAATTGATTTCCACTAACAAAGGGAGGTGATTAGTTTTTATAAATTAAGTTTCACTATTTAAAGGTATAACTAGTTACTATAAATTAATTTCACTATTAAAGGGAGGTAACTTGTTACTATGAATTAATTTGACTAATTTATTTGTATTGACTAGTTATCCCCTATTAATAGTGAAATCTAATTTAAAATAACTAGTTACCCCCCTTTGATAGTGAATATTAGTTTATATTAACTAGTTAACATAGTTAATATAAACTAATATTCACTATTAAAGGGAGGTAATTAGTTACTATAAATTAGATTTTCACTAATTCAGTGAGGTAACTAATTAAAATAATTTAATTTTCACTATTAGAGGGAAGTAACCAATTTTAAAAATTTATATTGACTATAAAAGGGAGGTAACTAGTTACTATCAATTAGATTTCACTATCAACTGGAGGTAACTAGTTACTATGAATAAATTTTCACTATTAAAGGGAGGGTACTAGTTGCTATAAATTTATTTTCGCTTATTAATGGAGGTAACTAGTTAATAAAAATTAATATTCACTATTGAAGGGAGGTAACTAGTTACTATCAATTAGGTTTCACTTTTAAAGGGAGGTAACTAGTTACTATACATTAATTTGACTAATTAAGGGAGGCAACTAGTTATTATAAATTAATTTTCACTATTTAAAGGAGGTAACTAGTTACTATAAGTTAATTTTATCTAATTCAGGTAGGTAACTAGTTACTAAAAATTATTATTCACTACTAAAGGGAGGTAATAAGTTACTGTAAATTACGTTTCGCTACTTAACGGAGGTAACTAGTTAATATAAATTACTATGGGATATCATGACTCCAGTGGAAGGTACAGTATCATTTTGAGCAAATTTGTTATTATGAATAGCTGTGTGGATAACGTAAAAATTTATATCAGCAATGTGTAGAATCGAAACCTATGACGTTATACACTAGTTCTGTCCTGTGGTGCATATCTCGACATTTCACGCCTGCAACGCCCGACGAAATAAAGAAGCTTTTGACAAAATCTCCATTGCCAACGTTTCTTTTAAAGGATTGCATTGACTCTTTCATTGCAACAATCACATCAATAGTAAATATAAATAAGTCTCTGGCAGAAGCGTATGTTCCATCGGATTTCAAGCAAGCGATAGTAAGACCATTGTTAAAGAAACCGAGTCTTGAAAAAGATAATCTCAAACACTATCGCCCTGTATCTAATTTGCCTTTCATGTCGAAAATGATTGAAAAGGTTGTTGCTGCAAGAGTTGATAGTCACTTGTGCCAGCAGAAACTCTACGACAATCTCCAGTCAGCATATCGATCGTGTCATTCTAAACAGCTTTACTGAAAGTTCACCATGATAACTCCAAAACTCTCGATAAAAACAATTGTGCAATACTTGTGATGCTCGATCTTTCTGCGGCATTTCATGTCATTGATCATGATATCTTGTTTCAACGGCTTAATCATACCTTTGGTATTTCGGGATCTGCTCTATCTTGGTTTACGTCATACGTTAGCAGTAGGACCCAGAGAATAGCCATTGGCTCTGTTTCATCAGACTCTCTTGCACTCCCAATTGGTGTTCCACATGGATCTGTATAAGGACCTAGGCTGTACTGTTTATTTTCAAGGCCGATAGGAAACATTTGTGATTATCATTATATGGACTATCATTGTTATGCCGATGATACTCAGATTTACATCTTCATTGAACCAAATGACAACATAAGTGATATCTCGAACCGATTTCAAGACTGCCTTTCAGATATACGCCAATGGATGTCACTTAATCTTTTGAAGTTAAACCAAGAAAAAACAGAAGTCATGATATTTGCTCCAAAGCGGAAAGTGAAAGAGTTTAATGATTTTAGTTTATCTTTTAGTGTTAACATCATACGTAACGCTAAACAAAATCTCGCCGTGTATTTCGACAAAACTCTCAGCATGGAGAAGCAGTGCAATACATTATCTCGATCGTGCTATCTACACATACGGAATATTGTATGTATTCGCCCATTTATCACAGACGGTGCATGTAAACTACTGATAAATGCTCTTGTAACATCTAGACTTGACTACAGTAACTCTTTATTGTTTGGTGTCAATAAACAACTG